AATGTAGGTTTTGACGATTATCCTGTGGATATATAATTTTTTGCTACAAATTTTGCATATTTCAATATGAAAAGCATAACAAATTGAATGATTACAAAGTTATTCATTCTTGTCATTTCTTTTATGTTTAGTTATGGGTATAGACTGCAGAGATTCTAATGAGAAAATCCATATAATTATTATAGGTTGTGTCAAGCATTGTTGTGGGTGGTGAGGTGCACATCTCCAGCCTGTGCACGGTGACTGTCCAACGTTTGGCTGCACTCATGGACCCTGCACATCCTCGAGGCTCTGACTGGTAAGTCATTGTTTTGGTTCCAGTTTATTGAGACAATATTAAACGTGAAATGATGTGGGATATTGTATACATGAACAGTTCTCATTATTTCTCAATTTTAGGTGTGTTCTTGCTGTCAAATTGGGTTTGCAACAACTGTTGCCATCCCTGGATACCCAGAGTGGCTCTGCTCAGCATTCCCCAACAGCAACTCTTTTACATTCTTGGGGACAGTCAACTACTGCTACTTTAGGTAAAGGGAAAGAAAGGAAAGGATTTTATGGATTACCATTTGTGTGTTTGCAAGGTTACTTCTTTTTCATTTTACTGATTCAGAATCATTGAGAGCAGTTAATCAAAATGGAATGATATATAAGCTTAGTTCAGAGTTTTTTGTTTTAGGGAAACTTAACCACTCCCTTTCCTTTGCCTCCCTCTTCAGGCACTCTAGTGAAAGAGCTTAGAGGGATGGAACGTGAAGATGCAGCTGTAGCAGTTATGTGTGGTGCCCCCTTATACCAGCTAGCTCCCCCTGATGAGGACACAACGTCAGACTCACCACCTATTTCTTCCACATCAGCTACCTCTACTTCCAATCTCTCCAGATGAGCACGGACACCACAGGAGTCATAAGGGTTGAATTAGTTCCAGATCAGGATTGAAGACTGTTAATGATGTGTAATTTCAATGGCTAAAGAGTTACTTCCCCAAAACAAGCAAAGAATTTAATGTACACAAAAGAAATGGATTTTTGAATGTCTTGTGATATTTACATTTCCTGTCGTGCATAATGTTTTACATAATGTTGATTAACTTTCCCCTAAGCTTACCCTTACCCCAAGGCTCCTGTGTTTTTAATGCTATCAGCACAAATATTTAATAGATAATAGAATGATCTTAAATGCAAGTGAAGTACCGATACCTAAAGTAAGTTGGTAATTAACTTGCATCAACTTGAATAAGAAAAGGCTAGTTATCTTTCAAAAACTTTTTCTTCATTTTGTTGTGATAGTCACATCTTTGATAACTGATAAACTCATGCTGATATCTTATAAAAGTGCCAAGTCACCTTTATGATATGTGATCATGGCTACATACCTTTATGACAGGCTTAGAACTAAACATTTTCCTTCCTCTCAAAAATTGTAGTTTGGTGTTCTAACTCCATGTGATAATGTATTTTGTAGATTATGATACTCCTAAAATCACAGGATCTGCCCTCCTTTTGATGAGGTGTTGATGGAATAAAATCATCAGGTGAAATTGACTTAGTCATGTAGAGCTCCTGTAACACACTCACTCTACATTTTACTTCATATTGTGTAGCATTTGTTGTAAGATAGAAATCACCATTTGTGCTATATAAAGCTGTGAATGCTTTAGTCTTAATTGTAGTATTTGCATGAGTCAAAGCGAACTTTAATTTATATATTCTTTTTGTATGAAATGCTCGAAGTGTTTTTTTTCAATGAATAAACAGATATGAATTGCTTTGTTATACAGAGGTAGGATATATGCCACTTTGGATGTCATTCCATTGTATTATTATGTTTTTATGTTTTAGATTGTTGTTATTGGTGTAGGTGCATTTAATTACACCCCTAAATAAGAAAACACTGGAAGCCCTTGATAGTTGGCCAGCATAGCCTTACCAGTCTTGCACAAAGCTACTAGTATTACTATGTAGTTGCTTTTTATATGGACCCTAGTGGCTGGCTGCTAGTCCTCTGCCAACCCTTTCTTGGGAATGATATGCAGTGTTGGAAATAGTCAGGATCCCTCTTTCCCCAAAGGTCTAATGGCCTTTCTGCCTGGATGATATCTCAGAAATCTACCACTAACAGTACTGTAGACAGTTCCTGCAATGGAACTGTTAATACTGAGAAATTGTTAACTTTTGATATGTGATAGGACCAAAAATCAGGAGTTACAGAAATAATTCCTATGATTAATTAGCAGAACATAGAATCAAACTATTTATCTGCATTTGCTGAGTAGGTAGGGTTATTAGCAAAAATGGTAATCTGGATACAGAACAGTAGTAATATTAGGAAGTGAAGGAGGTACGTGTACTGAATTTGTGAAGGAATATCAGAAATCAAGATTTTTATTTACCATTGTTTTTTCTCATACTGACAGCATTTTTTTCCACTTTTACTTGCAATGGTTTAAAGTGTATGGCAGTTTACAGTGTATAAAGTATGCTCATGTCTTTTTGTTAATAATTTTCCTCTCTATTTTTATTGATTACTATGATACTTTATTAGGTTCATTATATATCTGAATTCACTACTTTTAAAAGCTATTCTCCAAAAGGTATTCTTGAAAAATGACAAGTTTTAATTACTCATATTGTAAATACTATAATTTCTCTGATGCTGAGAAACCACAAATAAGGTGATGGTATGTAAACACAACTCATTTTGTTAATGGAAACATTAAGGCAGTTTTAAATGTTTCAGTCTTTTTAAATATGCTTTTGAGTTTGTGTTTTTAGGTAGCTATACCATTGTTATTGTTGAGCTGAAGTATATTATTGCCTTGAATATTGTTTTGTGAAAATGCATTTGTATATTGTTTTAGCATTGTAAATATTTGGGGCTATGATTACAAAATACTGTAAGTAGATGTGTGTTATATCACAAAAAAGTAACCATATATCCTAGATAATATTTGTATGACTTTTGAGATCTTCATTCTGTCAGAAAAAAATGCAACAAATATAGTATGCAGTTTTGACACTGATCATTTTTCTAATGCAACAATAATCTTCATGTTCAATTTTTTTTTATAGATTTAACATTTTGTGATAGACAATTTTCACTTTTCATTTAATTTGGTATCATAAAGATCATAAAAGGTTTTAAATTATATGATCAAAATGAAACAAGGAAATGAGTTATGTATGTATATTTTTTCCTCTTGAATGACAAACCTCAGAAAAATGTACTTAATGATGAAGCTGCTTGGAAAAGGGTGAATGTGAGTTTTGTTTCGGGAGACAAAGGGCGTATTGCATGCCTGAGATGAGGATGCAACATTTCTTTGTGATGTTTCATGATTTTTAAAAGTTCTTACATCTGGTTTTCCTTGTACCCAAGAACAGTTTGGGAAAAGTCACTAACACCATTTCAATTTCTAAGATTTTTTTTCTTTATCTTTTTATTTTATTTAGGTAACTTTAGGTGTAATACTGTGGTAAAAAGGCTGTTGCTTTTAAAGTGCTGTGAGAATCTGACTAAGATTAAGTGTGAATCAAAATCACATGATGATGGATGCTGTAGAATAATCATATCAAAAAGTATTAGTTTCCATTGCTTGTTGACATTCCATTATATTAGAGTGGTGCGGTTGTCTCTTCATAGTTGCGTGTGTGGGTGCCATATGCACATATTTATTGCTTTTATACACATACATATTAAAAGAAAATTTAAGCATGATATTTTTCAATAACCTTGACATTATGTTATAAGTACCACTGGTTGGTGCTTTCATTTCCTTATTCGTCTAAAATGGAGTTTTCACATGACTGACTGGCACTTGGGGAATGGGATATTATGACATGCCTCTATTTCTTTGAAATTAAATGGTTCAGAAATGTTTTTTAAAAATCTTATTGTGATAATTTTCATATCTTAAAATAGAAGCTCACAAATCATTATGTAGAATATCGTAATATGCATTACACAATAGCAGATCTTTCACATTTTAATAAAATAAATAATGTGTTTTGTAACATTTGCAAGAAAGACATTATTGTTAGTTACTACAACCTTGTGTATGGGATTAAGAGACAGCAAACCATGAGCTTTAATTAGGACACTGCTGCCTTGCTGGTATGTATGATTTTTTCCCACAACTATCTATATGTTATGCCATTTTCTTATCCAAAGTTAAAAAAATACAGCTAATGTAAGATTTTGTGAGAGAAATAAACAGAAAGTGGAAACGAATACAGAAAAAAATAAATGCACAGAAAATCAAATAAAAGAAACTGAAAAAAAGAAAGAGAAAGAAAGGAACAGAGAAAGACATGAGAGAAAGAAGGAAAGCAATAGAGAAAGGAAAAAGAAAATGAAGATGAGCAAAACTAATTTAGATAAAAGAGAGAGAGAGAGAGAGTGATTGAATAATTAGCAAAATAAGTCTAAAATTGAGAGTCAACACTGAAAAAAAAAATACTTTGCTCTCTTGCAACAAATATCAACACAAAATTCAAATTGTCATTTTATTAAAAAATAATAATTTGCATGTGCTTGTGTATACATTGTGTGTTTATCTAATTATTATTATTAACATTATTATTGTTATTATTATTATTTGTGTGTGTGTGTGTGTGTGTGTGTGTGTGTGTGTGTGTGTGTGTGTGTGTGTGTGTGTGTGTGTGTGTGTGTGTGTGTGTGTGTGTTGTGTGTGTGTGTGTGGTCTGTGTGTGTGTGTGCGTGTAGGTCTTTGTGTGTGTGTGTGTGTGTGTGTGTGTGGTGTGTGTGTGTGTGCGTGTAGGTCTTGTGTGTGTGTGTGTGTGTGTTTGTGTGCAAGGTCTATATAAGTACTTATATAGACCTTGTGTGTGTGTGCAAGGTCTTATATAGACCTTGTCCACTTGTGTTCTGTTAATTAAACCAGCTCTCACTCACCCAGGCAGAGACAGGTCAGAAGCAGACAGACTGAGAGAGCCTCGCCACGTTACCACCTCCCACGTCGGAGCGAGGCTCTCTGTCTGTCGTTTCTGACTCCTCTCTTTTCTAAGACTCGGTCGCAACGCGGCGTCCTTATATTGCCGTGACCCAAGCTAGGGGGAGCAGATATCACGGTGAGAAGCCTGGCTTGGTTTATTAACAGAACACAAGCGGACAACATGGCGACCACGTGGCTTGGACTTCTAAGCATGCGACCACATGGTGGTATAGCAAATGTGTGAATCTGTGTGTGTGTTTATACAGTACACACACATGCATCAGGAGGCGGGTCAGGGCCTGGTGTAACTCATGGGTGTGGGCCCTATAAATTATAATTGCACGTTTTCTTCCCAAAGAAAATATTTTTGTTTGACTTCGTAGGCCTTGATGATACCGAAGATAAATTCTACTGATATTCAATATTCACCCATTATGATGAAATTATTGATGTAAGTTTTGTAACAAAAATGATAAAACGATCCTTGTAGCGTAACTGCTGTAAATGATGTCGTTGAAATCTGTTCTTGCAACTTCACTTATTTCACATAGATGATAAAGATAATAACTTTAAAGACCCTATCTCAAGAAATCAAATTGGGAATTTCGTTATGCTGATCGCTAGTAAGCTAGAGAAATTATTACCTGTCAAGGAGATTATGTTTTTGGTAGGTGTGTCTTAGCTTAACTTAGATGCCATCAAATTTTAGTGGTGATCCGAATCATGATCCAGATCCAGGAACCTTATAAATGATTGCATCATTTAACCCTATGCATAGGGGTAACTATGTATATAATCATTATCTTTATCATCATCAAAAGGCCTGACGCCGACAGGTCCCATGTCAGTCTCATGATGTAGACGTCGGTTGGACACATAGTCCTGCCAACTGTACCCAATAATCCTTCATAGGGACTTGTTACACAAGGCATCGAGGCGTGACTCTCAAGCACAGATAGTGAAAAACTGGCAGTATCAAGGCCTTGAAGACATGTAACTTAATCCTTCTGCATAAGTACGGCAACTCCAAATATTCTTGTTGATGGAGTTCACGGCTTTAACTGCCAGACCAATCCGTCTACTGACTTCCTGTTCTGACAGCCCAGAGACATGGACTGCAGTAACAAGGTATGCAAAGCTCTCTGTGACTTCAACGTCCTCGCTGCAAGCACATATCTCCTATCAGGCCCCCCAAATCCTTGATCTTGGTCCAGGAGACCTCTAAGCCCAGGGGCTTTGCCTCATTGCTGAATGCATTAAGAATTGCCACCAGAGATTCCAGAGAATCAGATAGAATTGCAACATCGTCGGCAAAGTCAAAGTCCGTGACCTTGATATTGCCTAGTGTTGCTCCACAGTGACTGAATAGTAGCTCTGCCTATTATCCAGTCCATGCAAGTGCTGAAAAGTGTTGGTGCAAGGACACAGCCTTGCCTCACTTCTGAGTTACCAGGAAAGAAGCTTGACAGGCCCCACCACACTTCACAGAACTTTCAGTACCAGCATATAGGCTTGCTATTAATCCAATAATCCGTGTCGGAATTCCCCTAAGTCTTAGGATTTCCCATATTGATGAGCGATGCACCGAGTCAAACGCTTTCTTGAGGTCGACGAAGGTTGCGAGCAGTCCGCGACCGAACTCATGACGGCGTTCCTCAATGACTTGAAGCGCTAGGATATGGTCTATTGTGGACTTGCCAGGAGTGAATCCAGTTTGCTCCGGCCTCTGGTGCCTCATTAGGTGGTTGCGGATCCATTTCAGAAGAATGGGGGCGAAAACCTTGCCTGGTATACTGAACAATGTGATTCCACGGTAGTTGCTACAGTTCCAACGATCCCCTTTCCCCCTCTAGAGAGGGATAACCACATCCCTCAGTAGGTCAGGGGAAATGGAACCAGACTACCATATCTCAGCCAGGACAGTATGCAAGCCCTATGCCATGGGCTAAACCTCAGCCTTTAGCAGGTCAGCAGGAATATTGCATATGCCTGCAGCGTTCCCACCCTTCAGCTTTGAGATCGCTTCCCTAACCTCACTCAGGGTAGGGGGATCTTCACTGATGGGTAGATCAGGTACAAGGATTGCAACATCGCTTGCATCAAGACTAACTGCTGGGAGTCTACCTGATACAATTGCTCAAAATACGTTCACTAAGCTCAACATGATTTGAGATGATCCGTCCATCCACTAGGCGTACTGCAGTCATCCGTGAGGAGGGATTGGAGTTGTTTTCTCAGGGCTTGGTAGGAAGGACGAAGATAATTTACTAGGAAATGGCTTTCCAGCTCCTCAGCAAGATTCCTGATGAACTGTTTCTTCTCCCCTCTCTGCAGAGTCTGAGCCCTGCGCACCAAGGAACGGCGCAAATCCCGATGTGACACAGATGTGACACGCATCTGTGGCCTCCAGTGTCTCCAGCTAGATGAAATTCTACCTTGTCCATGGACGTTCATCAGTGGACTCCTGAGCTGCATCTAGTGTCTCACGCTTGACGGAATCCCACAGAGATACATGGTCCATCAGGTTTTCAAGCATTTTATCCGATCAGAGATTACTGCGGTGAACCTACGTGTACATTCTTCTTGCTCCAATCTGCCCTGGTGAAACACCTTAGAGTGGCCACTGGAGAGATGAGGGAACTTGAAGTGGACCTGCAGTATCGCCACAACCTACCTATGGTTAATGCCACAGAACTCGGCACTCCTCTTAACCCTGCAGTTCTGAAGGATCCTCCAGCGGGTGCTAACGAGGATGTGGCCGATCTCCTTGGCCACAATACTCGTATCGCTGTACCAGGTCCAGCGATGCGGGTTGGAGTGCTGATACCAGGAGCTAGAAAGTCCAGGAGGCAGTTCTCACTTCTGAGAACAGTTGCCGAGCCATGGGAAATAACAGACACCTCATAGCCAGCTCTATCACAGCTGGATACCGTATTGAAATTATCCTGTACAATGCAAATGTCTCGCCGGGAGCATTTGTCTATCACAGATGTGAGTTTGGCACAGAAAACCTATTTCACATCGAGTTTACATAATTTGGTAGAGTACACAACAATAACACACAGAGCCAAAAGAATGCTTCAGTCACAATGTCATAATATGCTCATTAACCGGAGAGACCTCCACTACCGAAAGTTGAAGTCGGCTGGAGATGGCTATGGCTACTCCCTGGCTCGACCAGTGATAGGTGTACCCACCCATACTGATGATGCCGCTGCCAGGTCTCCTCACCTCCGAGAGAGCAGCCACCTCAACTCCCAGCCGCTTCAGTTCCATCAATAGCACGGGTAATCTATCATCCTGCCGTAAAGACCACCTGTATGGCCTGCTTGAGGTTAAACTTCGGGCAGTTGCTCCGGGAGGACAACACTTCAGCCACTCTCGCCGATGTTACCCTATATAAAAGGGGGCGGCAGGCTGTGGGGCCCACAGGCCTGACACTGGGTTGGCGGCTGCCAGAGCACAGGCGGGATGAGTCTCGTTCCCCTCCTGCGCCCAGCAGTCGCCCTCCCCATGGGACCCACAGCCCGCCTCACTTATTGGGTTGGAGGGGCATTTCCCCTCTCCCCAGCATTTCTACTTATATGATTCGCTGCCGGTGAGTTGAACTGAGGGATGGAGGACTGGCAAGACCCACCTCCCTGAGCAGTGACAGCTGGAAGCGAAAAGGCATGCAAGCACTTAGGCTACCAAACCATCGCTTCACATCACCCCGAGCATGAAGCACCCACCCATTATCATTCTTTTTATTACCTCCCTCAAGGAGGTTATGTTTACGGACGTCACCAGTGTACTTGAGAAAGAGGTGATTACAATGTAATTCTTTAAGTGAATATTTCTATTACATCAGTGACCCTATTGCTTTAGCGGAGGTACGAGCTCTCTGAGTGCTTCTAGTTATTTTGTAATTTCAGTTGATTATTCGGAACCAGGCAAGTATTCAGTATTATAATTTACAGAAAGCAAATTGTGTCCAACCTCCATGGTAATTGCTTTCAACAACACTACACACATGTAGATCTGATAAATGTATGGATTTATCTTATTTCCTTTCATGTTTCTTGCTGAGACTACGTATATACTCCTTTTACTGTTCTTCCGTTATAATGTTTTACATCTCTTGTTGCTTTAAACATGTTATTGTTTGCCTTCTTTGAGGCATTGTTTTTGTAGGCATATATTTTCGTATTCAATTTTTCTTGACTGCAGTCTTCCACTGCACATTCTGTTCAAGGTGTAATACATGGTAGTGTAGATTATGCTGTTACGCCGGAAAAGATGAAAAATACATTTTCGGAAGGAAGCAACTGATACCCACGTTTTATGAGAAATACTTTATTTGAAGGAAAAATGCATGTAAAATAACGCTTAGTAGTGGTACCATCATCTGTAATGGCAACACACGAGGTTCTGTCATGGTACAAGCAAGATTACCAAATATCTTGCTTGTTCTGTACCCTGTAGAGTGTAACACTGCACTCCATTCTATCAATTACAAGTTGACGTACCTAAACCAACCAGGTGCAAGTTGGTTCTTTCGTTATCTACACAGAAGAAAGTTTATTTATTGATTATGAATATTATTGTTATAGTTTACATTATTTCTCTGCTGAACGATATCAAGTTACCCATTACGAAGAGTGCACTGTCCGGTAATGGTACTTTCAACTTGTTGAAATCATCAACCATAAAAAACAGAGAGAGAGAGAGAGAGAGAGAGAGAGAGAGAGAGAGAGAGAGAGAGAGAGAGAGAGAGAGAGAGAGAGAGAGAGAGAGAGAGAGAGAGAGTGAGAGAGAGTGAGAGTGAGAGTGAGTGAGAGTGAGAGTGAGAGTGAGAGTGAGAGACAGCGAGAAAGAGGAAGACAGAGAGAGAGAGAGCATTGATTCAGAAGTTATTGACTTCCAAATCGCATTCTTAGGCATACGGTAATATACACTAATCTAATGTAGACTACACAAAGAGCTATATCATCATTATTATGTTAATTCATTGCTTGCACTGTGGATTATAACCTTGAGTGTAGTATCAACAATACTGCCAGCTACAACCTTTGAAGAGTATGCAGTCAGCAGGACGGATCAAGGAGATGGATTTGGGGTATGAGGCATGTACAAATGGTACCTATAAGTGAGAAGGGCCGGGAGACGAAGGGAATTTAATCTCTTACAGCGTGGTCGGCACTTTTTTCATTGTCAACTGAGTACTCCTTGATTATTTCCCCGGCGTTTTTAATTCTAAATTTCTCTACTAAGACAAGACCTTCGAGAGCTGTGCTTTGTCTGATTTTTTTTGTTCACGGATTTGAAATATATCGTTGCTGCAATGAAACCCTATTTACTCGTATATCAGGACTCAAGCTAAGACAGCATATTCTAGATTTATAGACAATTTTTACGGAAAAAATCTCTTCATGTTGAAAAAGATCATATCATTTTATAATAAAAATATGTACTTTCTCGCTGTATGAAATTCAGGTAAACCACGACACAGTTTTTGTACTTTATTCAACTTCAGCGAACAATAAATTTCTTACACAAGAACTTCACTAGTCTGAATTGGATTTGAAATAACCGCCCTAGATTCCTTGAGCGCTGAAATCTAAAACAGCGTTAACTGACCTCATTTTGAGAGCCTAATTTCAGCTTATGTTCACGTAAAGTCTTGCCCTCATAAAGAAAACACATGCAGCATTAGAGGTCTGTCTTCTCATAAGCAATCGCCTACAAGCAGTGCCAACCCGGAGCTGTGAACGGTATCTTTGCAAGGTTCCGGAAAAAAAAACTGGTAAAGACACAATACAACAGAAAACAAAACACAAACTACAACAGAAAAGACATTAACCTTCTCAACAACATTATCAATTAAAAAAGAAGAAAGGGGGGAACAGTACACTAATTTCAACTTTAACGTCCAAAAAGCACACTAGAGAGAAAGAAAACGAGAGAATAAAGGTATAAAAATGAGAAGAGAGGTTCAAGTGGACTATCAATAAACAAACGAACAAAAACGTAACGAAAAAGTCACATGGTATTCAGATAACCCAACCAAGTTTTCTATAATCAAATGAGACTTGGAATGTGGGAACTACAGAACTAGACGTGGCTGGGGTGCGTGAGAGAGCGCGACAAATGCCCAGGCAAGACCAGCGACTCTACAGCAGGATGGGGTGACGGAGGCAGAGAGAAGTGGCGCCTATTTAACTGAAAAAAGTAATCAGGTCATCAGAGATAAGAAAAGGATATCACTGGCTGTCAGAGACGTCGGTGAAAGAACGAGGCGCCGTTTTAATTACCTGGCGGGGACACTGTGGTAAAATGTCATCGTAATGGGCGCTCTCGAGTCTCCTGAAGTCACAGAGTCCGTAAGGGAAGAGGACGGGTCATCATCCAGAATCTGTCTTGTGGTATGTCGATCGGAGGGAACAATCGTGAGTGGGATCAGAATCATTCTCGGGTCAATATTTATGTGGATTCATGGTTGTAGGATTACATTTTTCCCCCAATAGATATAGACAAACCCAAAAAGGTGACAAAAACAATTCCTTTTTTGTTTTCCACCAATCTTAAATTCACACAAACGTACATTCATAGCGACATACAGACACGAACACACACACACATATATATTGTATATATTTACTTGGTTTATTCATTCATTTATTTATTCATTGTGTGTGATTTACGTGTGTTTGTATGTCTGCATATATATATTATATATATATATAATATATATATATATATATATATATATATATAATACACATACATACATACACACACAAACATACATACTTATATACATACATTCATACACACACACACACATATATATATATATATATATATATATATATATATATATATATAAATGAATGTATGTATATATGATATACATACATACATACATACACACACACACACACACACATATATATATATATATATATATATATATATATATATATATATATATATATATTGTGTGTGTGTGTGCGTGTGCATGTATGCATACATCCATATATATATATTTATATATATATATATATATATATATATATATATATATAATATTATATATATATATATAATATATATATATATATATATATATATACATTTTCACAAAAGCGTTTACGCAATATTTTTTGCAAGACAGAATGATTAAGATCCCAGCCTGGATTCCCAACCCACGGAGGTCCTCTTCTGTGTTTCTGCACGAGGTCTTATCCAGTTGACGAAGGGAAACAAGGAAAGAACAACAGTATCACGAACTAACCGGTACAGGCAGGGCCCAAGCATGGGGGGGGGGGAGGGGGGAGGGGAACTTTCGGGATGACAGAGCGGGACCTTTTAACAAATCGAAAACACACACGCAAACAATACTTCTGAACATGCTATCAAGAAACTCAATCGTACCCTTTTACAAACGTCGCTTTTATGATTTTCTCATCCAAGAAAGATGAAAAATCGCCTAAATGAAGACAAACAGAAGGTCCCGACACGTTCGGTCTGCGAAGTAGAAGTAACACGTCTGTATGATTGACTAGACTACTGTTCGGATAACTGAGGGTTCGGGGGAGCGGGTCGGGTCCGGATAATTCCTCTGTACCGAGCCCGAGAAGGGAATGCTTGGGCACTGGGTACAAGTCGTCTTTCTATATCACAAACAGGCTAACTTATTTCTAAGTCACCCCTTATTTTACGTGACTTAAAACTACTGTGAAATACTGTACAGGTATTTTCTAACTCAAAAAAGTAGAATAAATAGCACCATCTACTTATTTCCTAGTATAACAACCACTTTACATGTCTGTCTTGGAGCCATTTATATATTCATATACATGTATATATATTTCCCCGAGCAGTGAGACGTCCATTCCCGTGTATCAGTTGCCGACACACTAAAAAAAAACACGTTCGAAGATTACCAGTTCTGATTAAAGTTTCTTCTGGCTTCCTGGCTTCGCTGTCTCGGCGCTGCTTGTGAACATTTTCAGGAAAGGGGATGTCGGGGATCAGAGGTGTGCGCAGTGTCTTTTAGAGACTGACTGACTGAGAGAGAGAGAGAGAGAGAGAGAGAGAGAGAGAGAGAGAGAGAGAGAGAGAGAGAGAGAGAGAGAGAGAGAGAGAGAGAGAGAGAGAGAGATTTGAAGCAAATATTTGTTAGATTGTGGGTTTTGATCTTGGATCCCTGTACCATAATGGACACCCTGTACACACTTCATGGCCTCTTCATTCCTGAACCTCGATTTAATGGCCATTATCCTTGCATCACACTGTTTTATTGCCACCATGTACATCGCTGCACTATGTTCACGCGCATCCAGTGATGTACATCATTTTCAAGTTGAGCATTTGTAATCCAAATGACAGACCATCTGGGACGATGAAAAAAGAGAAAAAAATCTTGAGAGGAAATATCGCTCTGAAATTCATCACTAATCACAACCATCTGCGTATAAGACACATGTAGAGCAACATTCACCCGCAGCAGGGGGCAGAGGGCGCGCGGCCACTGGCTAGTCGTCGCGCCCGGTAGGAGGTGCGCGCTCACTCTCAGAAGTAAAACTCGCGGAAGTCTGGATGGCTGCTGGAGGTGCGGCTGTAGGGATGAAGGGTGGACGCCCGTACGAGGGGGTGGAGGGTCGAGATGTGGGCGTGAGGGTGACTCGCCGAGGCACGAGCGGGCGGCCGAAGGCTGGAGGAGCGGGAAGGAGGGTGGAGGGAGGCGCGGGCGGGTGGGTGGAGAGTGGATGAACTAGACGGAGGCGGACAGTTCATGGATCGGTTCCGTCGACTAGAGAATCGTCCTAGCCTCTTCGGTGCCTTCGGGAGGGACCAGGACTGGCCTTTGCGTGGCCAAGGCAAGGCAGACCTCTTCCGGCTGAGTTCTTGCTGGGGTCCTGAGTCCATGGGTGACCTGGAAGACAGCGAGAGGGATGACCTGGAAGCCTGGATGGTCGGCGACGGCATGATTTCCACGCGAGGAGGTTTCAGCCCGAGGTGGTCGAGGAGGTGGGAGCTGGGTAGGACAGGGCCGGCGGCCAGCCCGAGCGGCCGGCCAGGCTGAGCCTGCTTAAGAGGCACCTGTCTGGCGGCGCAGGTCGAGGAGACAGCAAGTTTAGGGGGACAAGTCTGCGTGGTATGGGACAGAGTGCAGCTGGGGATGGCGCGGCGCTCACTTCTGCAAGGGCACGGGTGGGCCGAGGCGCGGCACCCCCGCGCGCGGAGGGAGTTCTCCATCCCAGTAAGGCACGGACATGGGCACCCCATGGCACCCGGGGCCATCTGGAAAACATAATCATTAGTAGTAACATTTCTAGATTCAAGTAAGCATACTGATCAGCCATCTAGAAGCGCATTAACAAGCTACAACTTATCGTTAATGACAAGATACTGATATTACCTCGTAAAGCAAATATCATTTGGGCATCCAGGTATACGTAACTCACGTAACAAGTTCCGCGCGTAGGCTTTTTGTCATCCCCTGCACGTTACACCACAACCCATTAAAACAACCTGCGGCCACCACTAAATATACGATTGGATTCTGCATTTCCCATTTCCCTCTAAAGTACCGATATGAAAGAGTAACACAGAACTTATCGAACAAAAAGGGTTTGGCATAAATATTAGAAGAGAAAGGGAGCACTGCAGAGTAACATGAATAGAAAATAATCGAACATGGAGAGTTGAAATTCATAAAAGACGAGACATCTTACCGGGTTATTATTCCTTTGCTGTGAAAGTAATCTCTGTAACCTCCGAAAAAAGTATCTATAAACAGAAACTAATTTTGATTAATGTGTGCAACTGGCGAATATATCTTTAGTGTGTTGTGCTGGAGTGATTTACATCCACATTTAAGTATACATATACATACATTCACGTATATATACACACACACGCAAGCACATACACTGACGCACTCATATAATCTCTCTTTTCTTTCCCATTTTTAAAACGGATTCCTAAATTTCCCAAATATAGAACACGATCCGGTAGAGGGATACCCCCTCATACCCAGTCATACCCTCCATGCCCTATACCCCCTCATACTCACCCCATGCCGCCGAAGTGTCTCTGAAACGACAGATCTCACCAGCTCAAAGAACATTTACACGCCACTCAGTTTCCCTAAAAGAACAAGAGACAGCGAAGGGGAAACTCAGGGGGACTTCCGATGGATATCAATCAGCTGTAAAAGGCACGCGGAACCGATGTGGAAATACTGAATTATTTATAACTTCGCTGGTGTGTTGGTGTGCCCTTGTTGATAGGGAAAAGGAGAGGGGAAGAGGGGGAAAGAGAAAGAGAAAGAGAAAGAGAAAGAGAAAGAGAGAGAGAGAGAGAGAGAGAGAGAGAGAGAGAGAGAGAGAGAGAGAGAGAGAGAGAGAGAGAGAGAGAGAGAGAGAGAGAGAGAGAGAGAGAGAGAGAGAAGAGAGAGAGAGAGAGGAGAGAGAGAGAGAGAGAGAATTATATAGAGATAGAGATAGATAGATGGATAGATAAAGAGAGAGATATAGAGATAGAGATAGATAGAGAAAGAGATAGATAGACAGATAGGATAGATAGAGAGAGATATATATATATATATATATATATATATATATATATATAGATGAGAGATAGAGATAGAGCAGACATTATTACATAGATAGATAGATAGATAGAGAGAGAGAGAGAGAGAGAGAGAGAGAGAGAGAGAGAGAGAGAGAGAGAGAGAGAGAGAGAGAGAGAGAGAGAGGGAGAGAGAGAGAGAGAGAGACAAAGAGACAAAGAGACAAAGAGACAGAGGGAGGGAGAAAGAGAAAGAGAGAGAGACAGAAACAGTTCAGTATTGATTCGCTAAAAAGCTACAGGTGGCGGTCGATGGCGCGAGGGAAGGGCTCCCACCGAATGCAAGTCAAAGAAGCCGAGGAGGCAACCGAGGAGAGCAGTTCAAGTCACTTAAAGTGGGAGAGAAGGAGACCAATGTAGACAGGTTGCAACCGCCTTTAAGAGCAAGTGTAACCTAAAATATGCAGCCGCAACCACAGTCTCCACATGTTGCTTCCGTTGCCATTCATGCCTCCCTTGCGCCTGCGCTGAAGAACGTCTGACTCACTTCCTCATTTTGGTCAGTTTATCTTTGAACGTTTTTGCTTCGTTGGACCTTTTTCTGCTTTTATGTCTACTTTTTTTCTTCTTCGAGCGGCTACGTGTGGGTGACTAATGCACGCACACATATATATCTGGTTCATGTTTGAATCATAACGAAGGCCCTCGTCTAAAAATCCCAAACCGCCGGCATTGAAAACCTACAAACAGACGCGAGAGAACGACCCGTCCCTGTTTTCAGATTCGGAGAGAGAAATTCGTTAAGCGAGTCCCCCCGCGTGGGAGCCGCCGCTGCCGAGTGTCAACCATCTGGCTCAGTTCACCGTCAGATGACTTAAGCGAAGCGCATCGTAGGGGAAATTACAGAGGTCATTAATTTTACAGGAGCCAAACACGTGAGCCAAGTTTACCAGTGGGCGTTTGGGTGGATGCATGTGGGGCGGCCCGCGAGTAGGGTGATCTTAAATTAAGTTATATAACCGTCACGCCAGCCAGATACCACTTTTATCCAATAATTATGTAGTTTTATCTTGTAGAAATAAAGCCTGAATCTACAAATCTGACTACAAGAAAGACCGACGTTTATCTTTCTCATCTGAATTTTGTAGACGAACCGTGCATTAATTATTTTCCACTCAAAATTTCATTCGGTTGTTGCAGGAGTAAAGAAACTGGGAACCCGCGGGGAAAGTGGAGCGCAAAACATAAAAAGTGTTCCAGAGGTCATACTTTCACTTTATTCATCTTTGGTGGCTCATGTAACAACTTAAAAAAATGATAATCAAGATACTGTATTAAAAGGAAGATAAATCAATGTTATTATTACGCAAACAAAGGCCCTTGTAATAATTTGCGGCACGTAACTAAATCCTATTTTAGTCTCTTTAAATCTGAATTTTAGTTAGTCTGGCAGGTGGACTAGTAAAACATTTCATTCGAAGAGGGAAAATGTCACATATATGATTAATTACTAGTCAAGGGGAGCTTTTTTGTAGAGAGAGAGAGAGAGAGAGAGAGAGAGAGAGAGAGAGAGAGAGAGAGAGAGAGAGAGAGAGAGAGAGAGAGAGAGAGAGAGAGAGAGAGAGAGAGAGAGAGAGAGAGTAACCAAGCGAAGGTCCAAGCAGCAGACAGCGCAGCCGATGCCACACGTGAGCGAGGGAGGGGAGGGAGAGTAAATATAAACAAAATAATCATCACTCAACTTTTTAAAAGTAAATATATAACTTCCCTTTTCAAAAAAATAATCCGATATTAACAAGTTACAAATCTTACAGGCAAGAAAATAGCATAAACATGATAAAAATAACCGTTGCTAATTTTAATTAGGAGGAGGGGCATTAACGTATAAAGTTGCATAACACATTTTGGACGGCTTAAAAAAAAATCCCTACCCTCTCCCACCTCGCCCCCCTTCTCCCCCCCTCCTCTGCGTCTGAAGTTTAACTCTCAGTATATATTTGTCACACAGCCTCGACGCCAAGTTCGACAAGCTCAGGTTATGTGCGTGCGTGTATGTGTGTGAATACATGTACGTGTATATTTATTTGTATATGCGTGTGTGGATTTTTGTGTGTGCTCTCTTTTATGTGCCTGAGAGAGAGAGAGAGAGAGAGAGAGAGAGAGAGAGAGAGAGAGAGAGAGAGAGAGAGAGAGAGCGAGAGAGAGAGAGAGAGAGAGAGAGAGAGAGAGAGAGAGAGAGAGAGAGAGAGAGAGAGAGAGAGAAGAGAGAGAGAGAGAGAGAAGAGAGAGAGAGAGAGAGAGAGAGAGAGAGAGAGAGAGAGAGAGAGAGAGAGAGAGAGAGAGAGAGAGAGAGAGAGAGAGAGAGAGAGAGAGAGAGAGAGAGAGAGAGAGAGAGGAGCGAGATTGCAAAAGCTATTAATATCCATCTAATCGAGGTCTATCCTTCTATTATCAGAGTTTCAAGTCGAAGGTCAGCGGCAGGTCCCATCAAGTGCCTCCGCCGTCTCTCACTCGCTGGCTGCTGTCACTCCTGTGATACGTCCACGAACACGCGCACATACTTATATGGATGTAAACGTCTGTCTCTGTTTGTATCTCTCTCTTTCACACTGCCTCACACACACACACACACTTTCCTTCCTCCCCCCCCCCCCCCTCTCTTTCTCTCTATCCCTCCCCCTCTCTTTTCTCTCTCTCTCTCCTCTCACTCTTCACTCTTTTCTTTTTCTCTCCCTTCCTCCCATCTCTCTCTCTCCCTATTTCCCTCCCTCTCTCCGTTCCTCCCCTCCCCCAATTCACCTGCTAGACGTGACTGTGGTCCTGCAGTAGAGGCTGGGAGGAGGGGGTCTCTCCGGGGGTGTCGTGGCCGCACCCGTGCATGTCGAGGGTGCACGTCCCGCCCACATTTCCCGTCGAGGAGGTGGGCGTCATGGGCGTCAGGGGGGACATGGGCGTCAGCGGGGTGAGAGGCGTAACTGGAAAGAAACAGGGAGCAAGATTAGCATCGTGAAAATGAAAATACACATATGGTAGAACAAAAATATATTCTCGTTTGTTCCTGAACAAATATTTGTCCTTGTGAAAAAAAAAAACATAAATCACAAAACTGTACGTATACCTTGCTAGTTAACATTAATGCAGTCCAACTGAACAGAAAATAATCTCTGCTATAGAAAGATTACAAAATAAAACATTACACGGAACACATATTCAATTTTTTTTTTAAATTAAATTTCTGATTTCTTTATTCTCTAGGATAATCACCACCCCCTCAGAGCCACGCCACGGTCAGGACAAACCGAGCAAGCGATGTTAGCCATGTAACTGGAAAAATATTTAAAGGCGATTTGTCCCCTTTTCAGCGGCCGTGTAACCTGACTCCCACTTATTTAGTAGGAGGAGCCGCTACGCCGTAATGAAAGAGTAAGCTGAAAAAAGCGGGAAATCCAGCTCGTACTCTCCGCAGGACACGTTCAACATAAGCGGCTCCATTGGCCGCTGAGACAACATAACACTTCCGGTTAACATAAGAGTATGAATTACAGTACTACTGTACGGGTATATATATATATATATATATATATATATATATATATATATATATATTATATTATATGCTGTATATATATGTATATATATATATATATATATATATATATAATATTATATATATATATATATATATATATATATATGTGTGTGTGTGTGTGTGTGTGTGTGTGTGTGTGTGTGTGTGTGTGTATGTGTATATATATGTACATATACATATATGCATACATACATATATATATGTCGTATAAAAGAAAACTTATTTTTCATATATTCCAATTTATCCTATTTTATTCTTCGACAAGCTTCTAGAAGCGTGGGGTACTGCTGGGACACGTTGCCACGTCAACGGATATTAGTGCTTTATTTACTTTACCATTAAATATCTGTGGCAGCGTAGCGTAACGGTCTCGTGGGTGTGGGAATGATTTCATTCCTGTTGTGTGCCAAATTTTAACGGTCATGGAAACATTTGTAAACCTTATTTTATTCAATAACTAAACAAGGAACAAGTGGCATCTCACTCTGTAAATCTTAGCAATACACATAATAAAAATAAGTAATATTCTCAAATAATTCAATTCATATCTATGGTTAATTCTATATACCCTCCCTTTTCCTATTAATTAGAAATCAATGGCATTTTAATAAACATAATAAAAATATACGCGAGACGAAATCGAGACCCTCGCTCCCAGTCTAACCTTATTCCCATGATTTTACCCAGGACATGAGCCGATCATTTCCCTTCCTTTCATCTTTATAATTTTCCTCTCTTACACTTCGCTCTAATAACTAATTCCATTCTCTATCCAATCATCGGTACCCTCCGGAACTGCTACCTGCGACTACTTCCGTTACTATACCCACAAACCATTAAAATAACTAAATGAGTAACAAATGTCCCCTAGTATTAAGGCATTAGACAAGCATTATGGCGGTTGTTCTCCCTGCATTCTCCATTTCTCCTCTCTGTTTACAGGAGTAAGGACAGGATTTGTCTTAATTATCACAAAGAGATTTGACAATTACGTTAATACGCATATCAAGCAGTAAAATCTATCATACGAGGGAAAAATATGACTTAAACCACCAACGCTCGGCTTACCTGTTTAAAGGAGTAAGGACAAGACTCGTCTGAATTTTCTTTCTCTCAAATTAATTGTTAAAATTTAAACATACAAACCATTTATGAATGAGTATTATGATTTACTCTATTTGTTATTACACTAAATTTTGCTATATTGATATGCCTTTTGATTTACGAAAATATATAAATAAATGTTTCAGTGACGAACGTACATCTTTCAAATCAGAAACAGAGCACCTTTTAAATGTCGAATAAATAATGATCTCGACACATACACACACACACACACACACACAACACACACACACACACACACACACACACACCACACACACACACACACACACACACACACACCACACACACACACACACACACACACACACACACACACACACAACACACATATATATATATAAATATATATATATATATATATATATATATATATATATATATATATATATAATATATATATATATATATGTATGTATGTATGTATGCATGTATGTATATGTGGCTGTAATTATGTATGAATGCATGTGTGCATCTGTATATATAGCTGTAGGTAAGTACACGAAGTGATAAACAGCGACGTGCGTTGCCGAACCGGACCAGGTCACGCGCTCTCTACTCGGGTCTATTTCGGTGTTATCGGCAAAGTCCCTCCACCCCCCCCCCCAAAAAAAAAAAAAAAAAAAAAAAAAAAAAAAAACTCGCGATGCCGATAGCGCCGATGTGGTGGCCGGCCTTATCTTTGCGAGGGGGTAGGAGGGGGGGTAGTGCAACCCTTCACCTTTTCAGTGTCGAACATGAGAGAAAGAGATAGAGGGAGAGAGAGGAATAAGAGAGAGAGAGAGAGAGAGAGAGAGAGAGAGAAGAGAGAGAGAGAGAGAGAGAGAGAGAGAGAGAGAGAGAGAGAGAGAGGAGAGAGAAGATGAAGAAAGAAAGAAAAAGCAAAAAAAAAAAAAAAAAAAGCATAAAGCCAGAAATTATCTGCATATGTATGTATCAGCGTATTGACATCCAGAGGAATGCACCGGCGCAGGAGGCGGCCCTCGGCGAGCGTGACCCGCCGGACGCCCGCCGCCCGCGTGCCGAGTGACCCCGGGGCTCAGGCTCTTAAATCGGCGTCGGGGAGCGGTGAGTCACCTGGCGCTGCGGCGAGAGCGCGAGGGCAAGTTCGCGCCGTCATGCTAAGACGCCATTACAGCGGCGACCGAGCTACTGCAGGTACCAATTACGCCGATAGTTGGCGCTGGGGCGCACGCGATCATTTTCCGCTCGCTTCGTGCGGCTGATAAAGACCTCGTCAGACATGCACCCGCTGTTCGCACTGACTTATAATGACTACTAAACATTCTTTGATTATAAAAAAGTGTATAAGCTTGACCTTACATTCCATACCAAATATGGCTAAAAATGTCAGTTCATGCGCAACACGGCAATGCGAGTGAAACATCAGCGCAACAGATTCAGACTCCATGTAATGTATAAATATATATATATTCTGTGTTTGCGGATAGTTTGTGTGATTTCAACGATGCATTAATAGTTAATAAATCGTGTATTAACAACAGATTCATTCACACAGAATAAATAAAAAATAGGTAAAGATGTGACTGGTTTCCAAAACAATTTCCCGCGAGGATTGTCTATCTTACCCAAGTTATCATCCCGAACAGACTGCGTATAATAATTCAACAGCGGATTGGCGCTGAACGAACGGCGGTTACTGTCAATAAAGCCAAGCGGGAATCCAGCGTCTAATCCGTCCGGCAAATGAAGACCTTCGGGGGCGGTTTTGTGGCTGAAATCGAAGGTGTTTTTGCGCTGCGTCTCCCCTCATGGCGGCTCCGGGGTTTTCCAAAAGTATCAATGATTAATATCATCTTGTTCTTGCCGCAGCGCTTGATCTTTCAGACTATCTATTTTGTTTTCATTTTATTATGTTTGATGTGTTGTTTACTTTAATTAAAACATATGATAACGCCCATGTCTTTTTACTAAACGATCATTGGTGGAATACATACAAGCAGTTCAGAAAATAAAATAAAACTAATACATACGTTTCCTGAACAACTGACTTTTCCATAATTTTTTCTATATACATCTATATCTATACCTGCATATCCATTTACATTATACGTCGTACGGCAGCGAAAAAACATTTAGCCTTTAATCTTTAATTCGCTAATTGTAGCTCTAAACTTTGAATGAGATTTTTCATGCGTACACAGAGCGAAAAACAAACAAAGAACAAAAATAAATGCATACACATTCAAATACACGGAGGCATGCTCCATACCATAGTGTCAAGAAAGAAGTTTCATCAGTCTTATAGTTA